CGGATCAGCTCCAGGCATGACGAAGCAGATATCGTCCTCTTTTGGAAGACCAAACAAAATAGTTTCGCTTTTACAACTAAGCACACAGCGTCTTTACGACATGGCAGCGGAACCAACAAAACTACAGCGAAAATAAAAGTTACGCCTTCTTTCTTTGCGTGAGACTTTAGTCTTTAAATCATTATTAATATATTTCAATAATGAAACTCTTGCTAAAAATACATAAGTCAGGAAATGTATATATTATAATGTAATAAAACAATAAATAATAAAAATAAAATAATACAAGTATTTGTTATATTATTTCTCATATATTAAAATTAAACTAATGTAAATTAAATGCTAAAATATGCTAAAATGGCATAAATCAAGAAATTAATTTCTGATGTGATATTAATGTAAAAATATAAAATAAAAATAATGTAAATATTTATTTTTCTCAATAACTGTTGTTTTTACCTGAAGAACATGTAGTCCTTGACACTTCTGAATTAAATAATCGTGTTTAATTCATTTAAAGGGGTCATATGATGCGATTTCATTTTTTCCTTTCTCTTTGGAGTGTTACAAGCTCTTGGTGCATGACCCCTTTCATATATCAATGCTCACAGTTTCTTTTAATTAAAAAAAAAAGTTATATCCTTAATGCATCTCTTAACTAGTTTATACCTTTCTGGTCCATTTTTAAACTTTGTTTTGCATCATTTTCATACATGTTGTGCCAGGTTTGATGACTAAACATGACACACATCATATGACTTCAAAAGAATACAGCACATGAGTCATATAAACAATATATGAAAAAGAGAAACATAAACACAGAAACAAAAAACAAGTACAGGCTTATGAGAAAATAATGAACTAGCTATTTTTTAAATCATTCACACTTCTCTTTGGATAGAAGCGTTTGCCAAATTAATAAATGTTCTCAGAAGTTCTCAGTTCTGTTTTATCCCTCACGTAATAATCCTTGCACATGTGACATTTCGCTTTTCATGCTGAAACTGACATAAAGCAGAAGAGGCCATTCCGTCATGAATGCATCAACACACTTTAAAGGGAAACAAAAGTGTTAGAGTTTAATACCAGCAAAATAGTCTTGCTATATGATAAATATATGTGCATGTCTGTATAATTAAAAACACGGGAAAGATCAGAGTACAGGCGACTCCCCCAACTCTCTGTTTTGCCAGCTGTCATTTACATGATGCCAAAATGTTGTCAGATCAAACAGATTTGTTTTGGCCGAGCCTGTACGGATCCTTTGATCAATTATCCTAATTAGGAGGGCAGTTATCCAGGACAGAATTCCATATGCATGAATAAAAGTTTGTCCTCTGTGACAGAGCAACCTGAACTTTTCAAGAGAAAAGCAACACCTGAATGTCACATGGCTTGCAAGAATAGCTTATTGATAGGAATTATGTATGGACAAACTAATTAGATATGGAATATGCAGACACAATAAAACTCAAAAATATATTTATTGCAACTGAATATGTATTACTGTTATGTATGTATATGTATTACTGAATATGTATAACTAAAACTAGAACTAAAACTTAATTTTTGTTAACTGAAAATAAATAACATGATAATAATAAAATGAAATCAAAAATAAATATAAATATTAAAAAATGCATAAATTAGTTTCAATATATTAAAACAACTGAATTATAATCTAAATTAAAATGACAGAAATACTGCTAATTAAACTCTAAAACACTCAAATCAAAAATGCTAATCATTAAAATGCTAAAATAACAAATCAAAATGTAAACTGAAATGTATTTTTAATATTATAATGTAATGACAATAATAAATTATAAAATAAAATAATTTATGTATACATTTTATTAATCAATTATTAAAATGACAAACAATACATCCATCAAAAATATATTTATGTAATATTATAATTTAATAGAAATAATAAATAATACATTTAAATAATAATATATTTTAAGTATTTAAATGTATAAATTATTATTAATAAATTACATTTTAAACCGTAATCTTAATTAACATGTTAAAGAAATACATAAATCAAGTGTGGAAGTTAGAAGTTAGTTTTGCTGACATCAAGATCTAAATGGAAATGTATTATCTTATTTTTTATTTAATATTATAATGTAATTTAAATGTATAAATGATAAAGTCTAATCTAAATTAAAATCTGAAATAATACATAAATCAAGAAATTCATACAAATAAAATATGAATATTAGATGAAACATTTATTTCAGCTAGTTGACAGCAACATTTCTCATTTTCATTTAGTTTATAGGTTGAAAAACTGGAAAATTACTGGAAATAAATAACTAAAAACTGTGTTAGTTAATGAAAATACAGTCGTTCATTGTTAGTTCATGTTAAGTCACAGTGCATTAACTAATGTTAACAAACACGACTTTTGATTTTAATAATGCATTAGTAAATGTTGAAATGAACATAACCTAAAATGAATAAATGCTGTAGAAGTATTGTTCATTCTTAGTTCATGTTAACTAAAGTAGTTAACTAATGTTAACTAATTAACCTTATTGTAAAGTGTTACCAAAACAATATTAGTATATAAATAATACTAAAATAACACCAAAGTGAATGTCAGCAATAAAATCAAAACTGACCCTGTTTATGTTCATGTTCCTTATTGTGAAAGATTTGCGCACATCATTTTATTCTCTTATTATAAAAATATGTCAAATTAGATTTTGACAATATAGTGCAAACAAACCTGGTCTGAAAACGGTCTGAAGTGCACACATTTTCATGCAAACTAAGTGATAAAACTGCTTTTTTAAAAAGGAAGGTAAGTGCTTCATTTGTAGAAATATTAAACTGAACCACATGCTTTCATCAAAAACACTGCCTACTAAAGGCTCTGGCACGCTGCATGTGTCCATTAAAACCTCTGAAATGACAGATGAGGGAAGCTCAAATTGTGCGGACACTAATCTGAAATACATTGCATTGATCGGCTGGAGATTACAGCATCCCAGCAATGAGTTGCAATTAGTTACATCACATTTCTCAATCAATTAAACTTACCCTGAGGCCACACTTTTTAATATCACCGGTGAGACTCTTGCATGAAATTAAATTAGCGCTCTCTCTCGTTAGGTGGTAACTTCTCTTTTTGTAGTTTTATCACAGACACCTGCTGTGGTCTTCAGATCTGTCTCTTGATCAGATGTACTACAAGGAATCACCTGGAATGACAATGAGAAAAGACTACCCTTCATGGACTTATTGTTAATATGAACGTGTGACTAGCAAAAGATAAGAGTTAAAACAATGAAAGACAGGCATGATCCGCACAAAATGACACTGGATTGACTCCTAAAATGTGGCATAATGGTTGCAAGGATTTACCTTTAGGATGTGTGAAGGATAATTCTCTCAGCATATGTTTGAACATATGGAGCAAATGTATGTTTGAATATGTTTGAACATTGGGAGCAAACCTTTTCCCTTTACACTGCACATTTAAGATTAATAGATCTCATTTATTGAACTGTTTAGCGTTTAGCAGAAGGCTTTAAACCAAAGCAGCATAAAAGATAAATTAAATTACTGTGTTGGATTTTGGATCAATTATTTTCATTTTGATCTGGGCATAAAGGGTAACTATAGCTTTGGATGAGAATTTAGGATCATTGATTAGAATTTGTGTATGGCATTAATAAAACAAAACAAAAATCTATAGAATCTATTGCAAAAAGTGTAGTAGTTTTGTGTGTTGTGACTTACCAGCCCACATTTCCTATATTTCAGAGGTTTTCCGATTGGTGTACGTCAAACTTCTAGAGAGAGAGAGAGAGAAAAATATATATATACATTTTATTTTATTTTGTTATTTTTTTATTATAAAAGATTAAATACTACCATGTTTTTAAATATAGAAAATAAATAAAAATATATTTCTTTTTTTGGTCTTTATACACTGAACAAAATTATAAACGCAACGCTTTGGTTTTTGCCCCCATTTTTCATGAGCTGAACTCAAAGATCTAAGACTTTTTCTATGTACACAAAAGGCCTATTTCTCTCAAATATTGTTCACAAATCTGTCTAAATCTGTGTTAGTGAGCACTTCTCCTTTGCCAAGATAATCCATCCACCTCACAGGTGTGGCATATCAAGATGCTGATTAGACAGCATGATTATTGCACAGGTGTGCCTTAGGCTGGCCACAATAAAAGGCCACTCTAAAATGTGCAGTTTTACTGTATTGGGGGGTCCGGGGAGGGTCCGAAAACCAGTCAGTTGAGCGTTTCCAAGATCTCATGCCTCTTCCTGTTGTGAACTTATGACACTCATTATAACTCCAGCAAGGATTCGCCGACGTGCGAGAATTCCGCCTTCCATTCCTTTTTTAGCACGGCTGCAGACACGCAGGCCACGCCCCTTTCGTATTTGGCTACGCAAAGGCTCCGAAGCCCCGCCCTTTTTACCAAATAAGTCCAGGCTGTCCTTACACGGCGAACAATCGATGCGCGTCGCAACCTTTCCCTTTCCTTATCCCGTTTATATAGTACGGCGACTTCCGCCCTTGCCGTTAAAGCAGTGCGATCATGGCGGAGCGCGTTCAGCAGCCCCCAGCTAAACGGCTCTGCTGCCGACCCGGGTATAGTACGACATGTAGGCAGGGGCAGCGAGCCGGTGGAACAATATGCGGCGGTTCGGGTTCTGGCCAAGGGGGATCCAGCAAAACCCAGAGCCCCGAATCGCTCCTGGACATTGCAGCGCGGAAAGTAGCGGAGAAGTGGCCGTTCCAACGGGTGGAGGAGCGTTTCGAGCGCATCCCGGAGCCCGTACAGCGGCGGATCGTGTACTGGTCTTTCCCGAGGAGCGAACGGGAGATCTGCATGTATTCCTCGTTCAACACGGGCGGAGAGGAGAGTGCGTCTAGCGGGGAGAACGTAGACGAGACGCGGTTACCGTTCCGACGCGGCATCGCATTGCTGGAGAGCGGCTGTGTGGACAACGTATTGCAAGTCGGTGAGTGTGGATGTAAACCCGCGGCTTGGAAAACATTTAAATCGATTGATTCCAGTCACCATCACGCAGACACAGTCGAGCGAAAACATGCGAATGTCGTTTAAAAGAGGAACACGAGTCGAATGAAAGGGACTATTGAATTTTCGGCGAACAAAGGGAGGAATACAACGGGTTTAAATCTCCCGACAGGGTGCCGGTGATGTCGTTTAGTTTAGCAACAGACGCCGAGCGCTCCGGCTTATCGATACATTCCGAGCGTTCTGGGAAACGTTCTGAATACATTGTAGCGCTTTTGTATCTGCGCGAGAAAAACAGCGCGGAAGTGGAGCTCGATGTCGCTCGATCCATTCAGCGTTTAAAGCACATTTACTTGACTTTCACCTCGGACTTGTTTTGTAGTTTCACTTTAGTCGGTGTAGCGACGTATTAATCGTGTGTTTTCTCGTAAAACGGTTGAAATGTCAAGCCTTCCGAAGCTTGTCGGGTCTGTTTATTTTTTTCTGAAGTGAAAGCGTGAGGGGGGGGGG